TTACAGTCTCTTACCGATCCCCGCTGTGTCCTCCGTCTTCTGAGTTCCGCCCCTCGTGAGCATCTGCATCGCAGGGGGGCGGAACCGGCGGGAATTTTAAAAGTTAAAAAAAATAGAACAAAAAAGGAAAAAAATAATTAGACCGCCGGGGAGGCCAATCTGTCAGGTTGCTGGATGTGTGGTAATACTGTGTGTACGGTAGCTCTGGCTACATACAGTATACCGCGCTGAGCCAATCATGGCGAGCAATGTAAACCTCTGCCAATCCGAGCAGGCTTTGTATTCATCAATAGAATACATCGCTCGCCGTGATTGGCTCAGCGCGGTATACTGTATGCAGCCGGAGCTACCGCACACACAGTATTACCGCACATCCAGCGGGCTGACATTGTATACCCGGCGTATAAGACGACCCCCGATTTTCGGGGGATGTTTTTAAGTCTAAAGAACTCGTCTTATACGCTGGCAAATACGGTAATCGTTGCATGTCCTCCTGCATCATGTTAGTAAAGCTGTGCTCAAATAATTCAGTTTAAGGGGCAAGGGCAGGTTTAGCTGTAGAAGAGGAGGAAGAAGAGGGCACATTTGGAGCTGCTGAGGAAACTGCGCTGCTTTGTGCCTGGAAATAGGAGGAAAATGATGAAGGATGGTTATCCAATCCACCGCCTCTCCTCCATGTACTAAAGCACCCCAACTGCCAGACAAGAAAGGAAGACATGCCCTGCCCTATGCAGCCTGAACACCACTTGTGAATGCAGAACCTGCTCGCCCCCCTCCTATCTGCACATGAGGAACCGCTGCCTCTCCTTTTAGGCTTCCTAGAAATGTTGAGTACAGGGTATTGCCTAAGATTAATCGTTGCTATGGCAATAGAGGGAAAGAGGCTGTGGTGCACTTCCCAGTTTGGTGATTTGTTAATAGCAGTTGATGCTGGTCGATAATAATAATAATAATATTATTATACAGGATTTATAGAGCGCCAACAGTTTGCGCAGCGCTGTACAATATAAGGAAGACATTACAATCACAATACAATTCAAGACAAGACGGTAAGGAGGGCCCTGCCCCTGAGAACTTACAATCTAAAAGGGAGGGGGAAGTGATACATGAGGGGGTAGCTGTGTGGGGGATGAATTGTTTGAGAACGTGATGCCATCATGCTAATTGCTTTGTGTTTTTTCTAACTTTAATTTACAGAAAAAAATGTATGGTGCCTTGAAAATGACCTCCAGCTGTGCTGTAACTACACATTCCATCATGCCTTTGCCTCTGGGAGTGATGACTGTGGCTTTCAGGGTCTTGCAATGCCTCATGGGACTTGACGTTTCACAACAGCTGGAGTGGCAAGGTTGTCTACTCTTGGTCTATTCTGTAAGAAGCTTCCCACTTCCCCTGTTTTAACTTTATATTCTAAGCAACTCTCCTCCGTCATATCCTTCTTCCTGCTAACTTCTGTCACTGGATCCTACAGAATGGATGCATGACTTTTTATTCACTTGTATATACTGTGCAAACAGGTTCTGACCTTAAAAGTGTCTCTGACTCTAGAGTCTGCTTCCCTACTCTATTGTTTTTAGCTCATGGGGACAACTCTTTAGCATCCTCTAATTGACTGCCCCTGTTCTTTGACTTGAAGAACAGACATGGTCCATATTTTAGGGAGCTTGCCTTCTGCTTCCTTTGCTGTGACCCCTCTGACATCCTGAGCTGCATTAGTTTCCTCCCGGGGTTCTTTACCCCCAGTGGCGTCACAAGGGGGGTGCGGCCCGCACCCGGGTGACACCATTGGAGGGGTGACACCAAAATGACTGTAAGTCATTTTGGTGTCACCCACCTCTGAAAAGTCGGGCGCTCGGACATGGACAGAACGCCCGACAATGTCAGGAGAGAGGAGGGGACCCGGCGGCATACCTTATCCCGCCGGGTGACTGTCCCCTCCTCTCTCTGCCGGCGTCCATCTTCAAGATGACCGCCGGCAGGTATCAGAATACTGCTGCGCGTGCGCGATGACACGTGTGGTGACGTCACGCGCGGTGACGTCTCGGCGGGGTGACACTCGGTAACCGCTCCGGGTGTCACCCAGCCTCGGGACGCCCCTGTTTACCCCTGCCAGTGAACATCCACGACTTTCTTATGCAATAATGTATTCTGGGCCTACTGGCTCTGATTGATTGGTTTGGCCTCTACAGAACTCCATACCATAGTCCACTGTTGTGTGTGTTACTTCATGGGTGAGTAGCCTCTTAGTGACCCTTCTTATTTGACTTCTTTGACTTGACTTGAAGAACAGCCATGGCCCTATTTTAGGGAGCTTGCCTTCTGCTTCCTTTGCTGTGACCCCTCTGACATCCTGAGCTCCATTAATTTCCCCCCGCGGTTCTTTACCCCTGCCAGTGAACATCCACAACTTTCTTATGCAATAATGTATTCTTGGCTACTGGCTCTGATTGATTGGTTTGGCCTCTGCAGAACTCCATAGCACTGTTGTGTTTGTTACATCATGGGTGTGAGTCGCCTCTTGGTGACCCTTCTTGTTTGACGTGGTTAGAACTCTGCCTGCCCTGGCTCCTTTGTGACCCCCAAACTCACATTCTGCTCTCCAGTGTTGATTTGAAGAATTGTACACTGCTGAATCTCACTCACGTACCTTCTCTACTTGGATGGGTCAAGCCCTTGTTTCACCTGTGACTTCACTGTGTGTTTCTTAGAGTGGTTTGTGCCTTGCTTTGACCCTTGCTGCCATTCTGCCCAGGCCCTGTAATACATTGAAAAGCCTATGCCTAAAGTGTATCTGATACATAACTTACTACACGGCACATGAAATTTCCTGCAGCAGAGGCCATGCTGTCTAAGCTAGTGGTAGTGGACAACCTTTGCAAATATCTTCTGAAAAGCCTCTTTCACATCCTTATTTCTAAAGCTATATATCAAAGGATTTAACACGGGAGTAATAACACCATAAACAAGGGAAATATATTTCATTTTTGAATAAAAAAGGTTTTTTTGTCCTAAATACATGCTGATACTCGTCCCATAAAACATGGACACAACGGTCAGGTGAGAGGCACAAGTTGAAAACGCTTTGGATCTTCCATGTGCAGACCGGATCTTTAATACTGAAGATATGATGAGAATGTAAGACACCATGATGAACAAAAGCGGTAGTACAAGGGTGAACAAACTTACAACAAAAATAGTCACTTTAAAAAAAGAGAGGTTTCCACAGGCTAGCTCTACGACCGCCAGGATCTCACAAGCAAAATGGTCCAGTTTGTTTTCCTTACAGAATACCAAAGGCCTTGAAATGACCGGGACCACTGAGAGGAAGAAATCTCCGGGCCATATAATTAATATCAGGGCTCTACAGACTCTCCAGTTCATGATGATGTTATAATACAAGGGGAAGGATATTGCCACATAACGATCGTACGCCATCACCGCCAGTAACAGCGACTCAGTGCTCCCCAAAAACGTGCCAATGTTCATTTGCACCAAGCAGGCCGCGATGGAGATTGTCCTTCTAACAGAAAATATATCTATGAGCATCTTTGGAAGAGAGCTGGAGGAATATCCCAAATCTATGACTGATAGATTGCAGAGGAAAAAGTACATCGGCAGGTGAAGTTTAGGACTCAAAAGAACAGCTGTGATAAGAAAAAAATTTCCAAAAATTGTAAAAATATACATTAGTAATAATGCAACAAAAAATAATATACACGTCTGCAGGTCCTTAGAATATCCAACTATGATAAGTTCTTTGAATAAGGTTTGGTTCCGGAGATCCATGGTTTAGATTAGGAAATGTGAAAATATTCTATGCGGTCAAAAGCTATTCCGACATCCTGCAACATGTACAATTCAAAGTAATTGATCATAAATGCCTATAAATAAGACTTTGGTCAATATAATCGGGAGGGGATATATGATAGAAATATATATTTTTCCATTTTTACTTCTACACCAAAAATGTATTTTTACAATAATACGTTAAAAGTGAACCTAAATAAAAAAATTAATAAGTGTTTAATTTAGTTTAAATTGCATATTACGCTTAACATGAAACTCTACCGCTCTCGATTCCCCCTCCCTGAGTCCTCCCGGTCTACAAGTCTGGTGACGCTATGGGTTCTTCCTGTTCCTACTCAGTGGGGGCGATGGCAGGCCTTCCTGCTGGACTGAGAGGAGTTTTTACTAACTTATTTGTAATGGGAACTTTGTCATGAGAACAAAATGGCCACTTTCATTGCCGACATGTCCTTAAAGGAGAACTATGGGGTCAGTGCTTTTCCCCATAGTTCTCCTCAGGGTCACGGGAGGACACAAACTAGCATCCTCCCGTCACCCTAGGCTCAGTATATAGAGAGCTACAGCTCGCTGCATACTGAGACGCCGCAGCCAGGACGGATCCCGACATTACTGTCGAGATCCACCCAGCTGCGTGATTGACAGCTGGCTCTACCTATCTAGAGGCAGAGCCAGCTGTACCCACCCCCTGCCCAGTCCGTTCCGCCAGTCAGCGCTGGAGGATCATAGCGGGGAGGGGGGAATCCCTGCAGGGAGCCGTGAGTGACAGTCACGGCTCTCTGCAGGGATAGATCGAGAAGTGAGCGAGCGACGGTATGTGTCCCCTCACTTCCCGATCTATTGAGCCGAAGCGTGACAGTTTCATAGTCACACGTCGGCTCGAACTATGAGGCTGAGTGATTTTCACTCACCTCATAGTTCTCCTTTAAGAAGATGCAAGTTGCCGTGCTGTCATACTGATTCATTCAATACTCTGATTCAGTTACCAGGAACAAGTACGCAGATAAAGACTTCTGACAGTCTGGGTCTTATTCCATGTCATGGACTCAAATAATATAGACTCAGTGGGTCAGTATAATAGCCAGGCAACTAACAACGTCAGAAGGAAGTCTCATGACAGCTTGGCATAGATCACTTTGCTGAGAACATGTTTTTTTTTGCAGAGCTCAATAGCTCAAGATCAAATTTAGAAACACAAATGTGTTTAGCTGAGGCTGTACAGAGCTTGAATTAGAGAAAGTCAGTCTTCTGTGTCTGCTGTGCTCTCCATGTAAAAAACAAAAAAAGCTATCAGTGTGTCCCATATTTATGGTACTTACAGAGTCCCTGCTGGGATTTCCAGATCTTCTCTGGGAATCTCTGCCAGGACTTCCAGAGTGCCTGTCAGAACTTCTAATGGTACCCACAAGATCCCTACTAGTACTTCTAATAGAACTCACAGGATTCAGGCCAGTATTTCTAATAGTCTAATAGTCTAATACTGCCTCAGCATTCTCTGCTTTGACCTGAACATGCTCTCGTCTTATACCTTGCCAACAGACAGCTTGCTGCCGACCTGGACTGCCTGACCAGACCCTTCTCTGCTTGCTGTCTGCCTCGACCCCTGTCTGGACCCAACTCTGTTTAGTGCACTGCTTTCTGGTTGGGCCCAGCTGCCTGGCCACTGCTAGGGCCCCTGCCTGATCCTGACCATACCCTGGTCTACTGTTTCCACATCAAAGCCTTCTTGTCCTCACCTATTCCTTGGCCGGGCCATCTTGAGGCTGGGTAATTTTTGTGTTTTGTATTGTTGTAAGCCTTCCCAATGTGCACCCTGCTATAAAGGCTGGTTATAGATTCATGCATGTACCATTTTTTCTAGTTTGACTATTTTGGGTTTGGGGGACGCACTGGTGTCCCAGCATGCATTCAAGATTGCTGGCCCCCCAGTGCGTCCCAGCACCTTACTAGGAGGAGTAGGCTACCTCCAGGTACACCTGCATGTAATTTATCAACTTCATTAATATGCTCACACTTGGAGACTCGGATACATAGAGTTAGGACCACACTTTGCAGAGGTGCCTTGGCGCGGCGGTGTGGCTTCTACATATTTTTGGCAAAACGTTTGTGCAACTAAAACCTCTGATTTTAACGCATACTGTTGACAGGGCTACTTGTTTGGTTGCAGGCTGGCTGGCAGGTTGAGGCTGGGGAATTTTTGTGTTTTGTAATCTTGAGGACAGGGACCTGGCACCAGCACACAGTGAAACCCATCTGCACCATTAGGAGCTTAAAAAAAGCAGCTGCTGCTTAGACTCTTGGGTCAGCCCGCTTCACCTGCCAGGGGGTCTTACCCTAACAATATTAAAGAATATATATTAAAGGAGAACTATGAGGGGGGTGCTTTTCACTCAACTCATAGTTCTAGCCGACCTGTGACAATGAGACTGTCACAGGTCGGCTCAGTAGATCGGGAAGTGAGTGAACACATAACGGCGT